CTCACTCCGCCATGGCATATGATCTCACCTCTGATTATATGGAGGTCCATGTTTACTCTGCTTCTGTTTTGTATTGTTTTATGGACTTTTGATTTAAAATTTTGTTCGTTATCTTCATATGTTTCATATGAATACGAAAAGGTGTGTTTTTTATGAGCCGTAATTTGTGCTCGTGGGAAATCCAATAGATTGTTGGAAGACCTGGTCTCCAAAATCAAAATATTGTCAATAAAAAACACGAGAATCATTTTAATATCAACTTCAGAGTTCGTGTATGTACAATCAGAATGTTACTTTTTAACAACCTAATTTTCAAATGACGAATGACAAGAAAAGTAAATTCATTGTGTTTTTAACACTTTTTCAGGGCTATGGGCCCCTGTTTGCTTAATGTTCATACATTGCAATTGTTTATTTAAGATTAAATGTCATCCGTTATCTTCCTATTTCACATATCGTAAAGTAAATACTCTTCTGGAACACGGAATGTCCCAACTTCAGAGGTTTGATGAATTGAAAAGGTCAATTTAGTTTGAAACAATTTCAGTCGTCATCAGTCAAATATGAAAGACTTCAGTCGTCCGATGTTTTTTTTTTTTTTTCTTTTTTGTTTTTTTTTTGGCAATCAAAGTAATATTATCACAAAAAATTAAAAATACCTTCTTCTTAACCTTGATTAACAGTAGCCTGTATTTTACTTTGGATATTTTAGATGTTAACAGGCAGATGATTGCAAACAGGAATGAAAACTCCAATGAGAAAATTTTAAATGAGCTTTCCTCTCAACTGAAATCAATAAATGAATACTTGCTGGTGTAATAATTCACTAAAATCTTGTGTTGTTTGACACTGCCTAAAGCACTAAACACTAATAAAAAACATTTTATAATGCTAATCAAAGAGCATATTATGTTACATAAAAAGGTTGTCACAAAGATTTAAGCAGTAATTTACTTATTTGAGAAGCTTATGATGCGAAAGTCCGTAAAAAAGTTTTTAACAAGAAAACATTTCATTCCGTTTAACATAATTGGAGTTAATGACCTCAATTTTTACTATAAAAATTTCCAGAGAGGATAATTAAGTTCGACCTGAAATAAAAATATCTGCGATATAAATTGGTCTGTGACCCAATACATAAACTTCAGTAAAATTCTTTAGATTTATTATGCTTTATTACATATGAGATAACTTTACTTAAATACTAGTATGATTCTCTCTTAAAATGTTTAAAACATATTTCATGTTTAATTTTCTAAACAACCTCCTTTATCTCGATCAACGTAAATAAAGTTATAAATAGGAAGAAAAGTATCCAGTATTTTTACACCCATACAAAAGGGCACAGTTTCTTCTTATTAATCGACATTTTGCTCTCAAATGTCTCTTTAAGGTCATTTTCACTCATTAGAGTAGATATTCTCTTCAGTTTGGTCCTGTTGTAACCGGATGTACTCCAACACAGCTGTATGGATCATTCTGTATTCCTCCTGTAAGACATAAAAGAATGTTTTTTATTTAGTTATGCTAACAAGACACTTAAATTTTCAAACACTCTCTGGTCATGCATATAAAATGTTGCTTTAAAGCTAATGACTTACTTTTCAAAATACGAGTATACGTAAATGTATAATTTCTTTTAAAAATACAAACAAATATAGCATATTTTGCAAGGAAATAGGACAAAAAAGACTTTTCATTTTGACAACTATACTTTGAAGATATAATAAGACATTGATATCATTTAGAATTATCTCCCTTATCAGAGTATCGGTGAACCTTAAAAAGATTATTTAGATTCATTGGCCATTAAGAAGAAACCTATATAACTTACCAGAGAGGAACATAACTCTGGACGTCTGATCTGAAGCTGTCGTACAGCAGAGAAAATGTCCACCTCACCATCTACAGACAACTGTTGTATTACGTTGTAAACAGCACAGAATACACCACATAGGACTGCGCCATCACTGTAATGAGGAAGATCATATTAGTTGTGATAAAAATCTTATGCTTATTGCTTTGAAAAACAAACGGGAATTCGAAATTTACAGAATGTCAGATTAATAAATAAGAAACAGGAACATTATCTCGGAAAAAGTGTTGCAACTGCAAGTGATGTATGTAAACGATTTTTACTTCCAACACACAAAAGTATATGAAAAAATATATAACCTGCTGATGACAGTAATAGGTCCCTGGGTTTCATTGTCCATTACAAAGGACACAAGCTTTACTAGATGTGATGTCCCATGATTCGTTGACAGCAAACTGAACTTAGGTTCGGAAACAGAAACCGTGTAGGCTTCATCACTTTGCTGTATTAAAAAACATTATGCTGAAATGGCATAGTTTTGGTAATGAATCCTTCATTACATGTAATTAGCTAACGGATACTAGTAGTCAAATAATGTTGTTCAATCATTTTCAAATATTGTTTTTAAAATCAAGATAATATAGTTTAAAAGAAATCTAAAGTACAAATAACATTCCGATCCAAAAGACAGGGAGATTTTTGTTTTGCTCTGAAATTAATGTATTTCAGTTGAATTCAATTTCTAAATTATCAATATATTAGACTCACTTCTTCTTGAAAGATTTGAATAGTAGAGCACTTTACACCATCGATATCTGAACTCTTCTTTTGACAATGAACGGTAAATGGGGCCACAATTTTAGATTCATCTGTACCTGGCATCCACTTTTTGCTCTAGAAACACAACCATTTAAAATATATTTTTGACCGTCTTTTTTTTTTTTCAAAAGAATTTTCCTTTATAAAAAAAAATTTTATTCTTTTCAATCACGTACAAAAAAATATTGATAATTTAAAGGAATTTTTAAAAAAATCAATCTACTTGAGGTAAAATTTACAAAAAGACACGTTTGTCTCTCAATTGTCACAAATAGTAATATCTAAAAATATACGAATTCATGTATAAATCCGAATATCTTTTCTTTAAATACGGATTCCCTAGCATAGAACTGTACCGATTCTACTTGAGGTAAAGGATCCATACAAACGACAACATCTGATTCGTGGTCAGTGAGCAGGCGCAGGAAATCTACAGCGTCCCCTGCTGGAGGATAGTGCGTCACAATGAAGGCTTTATTGTTCACATATGACTAAAAGGGAAGAAGAAACGTCATCTTTGGCAGGCAGATAAGAGATTGTAAAGATTGTTATATTTTTGGAAACAAAATAAACTTTGAATATGTTTATCAATAACAATTTTCCATGTGAAGTGTCCTTTTAACAACTTTCATTAGAGGACAAATTCGAGATTTGCCAATATAATGAATCAGAAATGATTGATTTGAAAATATTTTATTATATACTAATTGGTAAATGGGTTGGACAGCTGACATAGCCTGTGTGAGCCAACATTTAATGAAATAAATTTAAAATCTTCTACAAAACATACGTACGGAAAGTGTAACTGCGTTTATAAAACCTCCACGCTTCGGTACATTTGAAGACAGGAATAAACTGTACTTATCAACTGTAAAATACAAAAAAGTCAACATTGGATAAGAACACAAATTAATCCCACCATATGACACGCGTAAACAAAGAGTGTGCTATAATCTCAATAATATGCCATGCGTCAAGTGGAAAACCTTTGCAGAGCGGGTATAATAAGTGACATACGTGGAAGAATAGACGATCTTTTCCCATGCCCTGCCTGAATGGCAAGTTTATAATCTTCTTCTGTATAGGTGGGCCTGACTTTCAGCAGAGACTACAATTAAAGAAACGTGTGGTTTATGTTTTAATTTTTGTTTAATTTGATACAGCTTAAAAATTTCGAAGTACCTATAAAATGGAATTTTGCATTACTTTAAAGTTCTACAAACAAATCATGTGCCATCAAATTCGTTAGCAATTCTTTAAGCAACACACGCATGTGGGTAAAACCTGAGGGTTTGACATGGGTCGAAATTGTATTTTAACAGGTTATTGTAAATATAAACTTGCATAATCAAATTTTTATTTCATGTATATGTGAGGGTGTTGACATTTAGCAGAATTAATTCCAAAACAGTCATTCCTTAATTTTTATCATATTTGTTATTTCCTGAAAGTATCATTTCAAGTTCATTTTGATAGGTCAAATTACCTGAAACTCTCTCCTAAGATCACTCTGATTGGCTGGTTTATCACTCGTCATTGATTCCACTTTCCTTATAAAGTCTGATTTCTTAAGGACAGAGGAACACGCCTTAAACATGTGATTGAGAGCCAGAAATATGGTTATATATTGTTCCTGCAAAAAATGTTTTGGAAATAAACAAACTAAAAATCATTGTACAATCAAAAATAACATTCAACATGTACTTCATCTTTTGACATTTCAAGAAATTGAAGTTTACTTGAGTTGAGTAAAGCAGACAATCTGTATTGGACAACACGTATTAAGCAAATTATACTATTCCAAGGATTTTCAAATCATGAAACACATGGAGATAACAAATAGTATTCAAGAAGGATATGGAGATAACGAACAGTATTCAATATCAAAAGTCTATAAAAAGGAGCAGAACAAACTCGGACCTCCAAAACATCAGAGGTGATATCAAGTGCCATGGAGGAGTGAGCATCCCCTTCTGACCGGTCACACCCGCGGTGTGCTCCTTGTCATGATCGGGAAATAACGGAAAAATCCGTAGTCAAATCAGTGTATAAATAATGGACTAAAATGGGTATGAAAAACCTTATGGAACACATGATAGAAGGTCGAAAACGCATGCATATATATTTGCGTTTGGTACATATAAACATTTTTTAGTTTTATAATGTAAACATAATAAAGCACATGTAATTCAATTACTTTTACAATACGTACGTAAGTTTGGACCATATTCATCCTGTTTTCCCTCATTCTCTTGACGTACTCTGCGATGTTGATTTTCCTCTCTGTTTGACCTGTCTTATACAGGGCGTCTATAGCTAGGTATGTCCCAGTGCGACCTATCCCCGCACTACAAATAAAACATACCTCCTTATATTAAAGTCATAAATGCTAATCCAATTCAAAAATTTACAGTGTTGTTTTGTTATTTGTTTGCTTTATATTCCTGAAAGTTTTAGTAATGTTCGGATGGTATAGTGGAATGCTACATATTATGTCGTGTATTCACCAATTGCAATCATTGAGCAGGGTGTTAACTTTTTTTCACTGATACACTCGATCTCAATATTAATAGTCCTTTAAAAACAACCAAGGACTCGCAATGGTAATCATACTCATGGCATACAAATTAAAAGCTTATTTTTCGATTCTATGAGATGTGATAACTTTTCTCTAATCACCACAATTTTTCGTGTTTTTTTTAATAGATAATATTCTTTTTTCTTGAAAAATATATCTTGATAACAATTATGATACAATTGAAGGCAATCAAAACAATGCCCAGCTTCATTATAACCTGCAGATTCAAGAATTTCCAATGCTACAAAGCCATACCTGCAGTGAACTAATACTGGACAATGATTTTGTTTATTCCTTGTCCTTGTCACGTGATCATGGAATACTACAAGGCAGAGCGGTTCGGGTACGCCGTGATCCGGCCAGGCCGTGTAGTGGTACTGAGTTACAAAACTTGTCTTCTTTAACAGGAAAAAACAGATAAACATGAGAATATCAAAAGTGTTAGCTGTTTGTAAAACAATATTAAAACATACCTTTAACTTTTCTCTCAGACATTCCCTTAAAATTACAAATACATTTAAACTATCACAATTTTTCTGACAAGGTGCTAAATTTACAAATAGTGAAACTTTCAAATTTGTTTTTTGGGATAGTTTTTACAAGACTTACATTTTTATGAGTTACTTTTAATCTTCTGATTACATAAAATGCGTAGATCTTCTCTTCTTTATTACTTATAGAAAACTCCCCTGAGGAAAGAACCTTGTTCAGTTCTGGCCAATATTGCACACACTTAGTCTGGAGACAAAGCAAAGCGGGTCAATATATAAATGCAGCCTCCCTCCCCCCAAATATTATGTAAAAGAGAATATATTTATTAGCCTTCCGAAAATAGCAAAAATCATATACATATATGTATGTCATTTGAAGAGTTTGATACATTTTTTTTTATTTAGTAAATGCTAAAAATAAATCATGCTTCCAAGAAAAATAGATATCATTTCAATATTTTGATACTTTTTTTTTTCGAAGTTAGTAATTGCAATAAATATACCATGTTTCAAAGGCCTCAAAAATATTTTATTTCAGCATTAACACGAGTACCTTGTTTCCTTCTTTGAGGTTGGTCAGCATAACGATTTGTGACACGTTCTCCTGCCATATCATTGCCCAGAAGTCTGTCAGTGTGCTCTGTTTAGGACCTGTATAAAGAAAAGAGATAACGATAAATATCTATTAACGGCTTCGTGGCACCTGATCCCATCCCTGAAGTGTCGGAGGTCCAATTTTGCTCCTGATTTATGTTTTTTTTTAATACACCTTTGATCGTGAATATTGTTCGTTATTTCCGTACATTTCATCAAGTGCATTATGTTTACAATTAGCACTTTTAAGTAGCAAATGTTGTTATAGACAAATCCCTGTGATATTGATGTGTAACATTTCTGTGTACATCTTATATAATTAAAATATCCTTGTTCCAAAAGAAGTGAATCATTTTAAAAATAACACTTTTTGTACACTGTTCACATTCACTTGTTATGTCTTTTTAAAGCTTAAAAATGAAACAAGTCATATCACAAAATTTTATAAAAGAACAACTATATTCACTTTGAGATGCTATATATGAATTTCTTTCATCAAATTCCCTGAAAAATATTTTATTTTTTAAATTGAATACAGAAAAGGTGTGAATATTCTACGATGAAAAAATTGTAAGAAACATTTCTTTAAAATGGATTATTTAGTTGCTTATTAACTTGTCACGAGCCCATCTTATAAAAGTTGTTTGGTTGCCCTCTCAAAACCGACCGACTGAAAATGGCCCAACTGATCTCTTTTTTTTCATTCCAGGACACATTATTTTACTTTTCATTCCTAATATTCAAAATCAAAATATAAAAAATATTTAGTACAAAAAAAAAAAAAAATATTTTTCTGTTTTAACCTAGAAATCAATAATTTTACACTGAGTCGGGAAGGAGCAAGCAAACATTATTTTAAAGATGGCCCTCTATTTAATTTATAGGAGTACTCACATGAATGTAATTAGCATTAATGTAATCAGACTGGTGATTTTTCAACTTGACTCGAGAATGATCATCTGTAAAATTCAATCATTTATTTTTAACGATATTTTGAGGTCAAAAATATTATATCTTAAAATTTTACCTATTTACATACAAGTCCTTAATAAATATATTAAAAATTATATATAATCAAAGATTTTAAAAAAAAATAAAATATATTGAAAGTGTTTTTTTTGAGAGGCTATATACTCAATAATTTCTTTTTCAATTCGCCATGAAAAATTTTAATTTTTTTTTAAATGAAAAAGAATAAAAATTTTTACATGAAAATGTATTGCTAATGTATAAATTTTTTTTTAAAAAATGGATTAAATAATATTGAAAAATTGTTTTTAAACCCATATATAATATTTAATTCTTGCCCTCTCAAAAAATAAAAGATAAAAAACAAAATTTTTAAAATTTTTTTTCAAGTTTCTTTACACATTAAGTTTCATGTCTATACCTGACAAATTTATTAAAAAATTTTGAAAAATTCTATCATTTTTTATACAGCATCCCTATATAAATAATTTTACATGATTCGGTAAAGGATCAAGCAAGTTTTACATATAATTTTTAAGTTAAACTGATTTGCTTTAAAAATCAATGAATGTAATTAGCATTAATGTAAAGAATTAAAATTTTTTACTGAGTATAAATTACGTACTTTGGAAATGTCGATCTTAAATTATTTTTGAATGAATTTTCTGAAAAATTTCCCTGCCTGTACAACTACTCCTCTACCATATTTAAAAGATCCTCTGGGGTTATACCTGAAAAAATAAAAATTTCTATTTTAATTATTTCGTTGTTTTTTTTACTAAAAAGTTTTTTTTATCAAATTTCTTTTCCACTCGGCCAATTTTTCAATTTTAATTCTTCGGAGACGTAAAAAATATAAATCAATATATTGATTCTTCACAAAAAAAGAAATATCATATTTTAATTTTAATCATTTTTACAAGTGTAAAATTTCAGTAAAGAAAAATAATAAATGATTTTAGTATATAAACTTTGTACAAGGAAATGTTGTGTAAATCTTTGATACTTAGCTTTAGTAGGTTAAAACTTTATTCGCCACAATATTGAAGAGCCAAATTTTTAATTAACTTTTTGAAATCAAATTTAATATCAATTTAACACAATTAAGTTATTTATCATTTTGTATAATAAATATCTGTCCTGGATTTCTTGAACAAAAAATGTCCTACTTTGATTAAGGAAATACATATCTTCACTAAAATTACATTATAAGGTATGAAATAACTTTAGTATTTATATTACAATATAACAATTTAAAACTGATTTGCTTTGCAAGATATTTTGTAAAGTAACTTATAAAGAAATTATAAAGTAAAACTAAAATAAAATATAGTATTTTGTATAGCGATTTCTGCAATGTCATTTTAATAATGAGAAAAATAAAATAAAATTTATTTGTATGAAGAAGTGGTATTTGAGCCTCCGTTTGAGTTATTTAATCCTAAGCTATATATAGAGTCTTACAGCATACTCCCTCTTGAAGCCGTCATTGTCCTCTCTCTGTTTTTCCTTTATAACTGTATCCAGACGATCTATGGCAATGTCAGGAATGAGCTCTTCTTCATTGAGATACAGGTCTCCATAAGGATTTTCCTCGTGTACTTTTTCATCGATGTCGATATCGTCATTTTTATCGTTGTTCTTGTCTGATTTATTCGTTTTTATTTTGCCTTTTTGAACAGGTGGCTTCTGTTTATTTTCACTTTCCTCTTCTACGTTTGCATATATGTTGGTGAATTCCATATTGTTTGAGTTAGCTGTCATTAGAAAATAAAACTTCTCAGTATTTTGCAAAATTGGAAATGTTTTTCAAAAATATATTAAAACGTATTAACCACCTGAAGATTTGATAATTTATTTATACTCTGATCGACAAGAAATATAAGAGGTATTTATGCAAGCATTCTAAGATTGTCTGAGTCAGAAAATGATCTTACAGGCTTTATTCCTTATCATTTTCCTTTGATCTGATTTTTGTGAATATCCCCGTTTTCTATCTTTTTCAGCTCTTATTCTGAAAAAGAGATCATTTTACCCGAAATAAATGTAAAAACATATATTATCTAAATTTTGTTATGTATGTAACGTATTTAAATCTAAATTCCAAAATACTATATTTAACTAAAGTGATAACTTTGACACTTTGCTTTACTAAAGTGATAACTTTAAGAAACTTTGATTCACTATTATGATAACTATAAAAACTTATTTACTAAAGCGATCACTATTAAAACTTTGATTTAGGGAAAATTGGGAAAGATTCTATTGCTTTTTGAAAATCTTTTTTCATGGTTAGTTTTGAGTTCTTTTTCAGTCTTTAACGAATAATATTATGAGCATACAAGATATTGAAAACTATTACATATACAGGAAATTAATCTAACAAAATCGGTTTTAACAAACCTTTTTATCACAAGAAAAATGACAATAGTGATGATGATAATGAAGAGAGCAGAGAAAATTCCAGCTATGACCGGAAGTGTTGACGAAGATTTGTCATCAGGTTGTCCCAGAAACTACAAGAAAAATGAACTGTATCAATAACATTCCGTCCTTTTTACACATATAAAACAAGTGTATAATGAGAAATCATATTTTTTTTATTCTAAGTCGATTTTCTTTAACTAGGGTTTTCCATATATAACACCAAACACAACCATTCACATTGACTTGAGATCACACCCTTAAAACATGTTTATCCTATTTGTTTCCATTTTTACCCATACCTTTGATTGATAGCATCTTCCCGTCTCAGGTACACACGTTTCATTGACACAGTTTGTACTGCAGTTTTGAAGACAGTTCTGTCCCCATCGTCCGTCGTCACATGCTGGATAATGATAATAAATAAACAATATATTTGAAACATATGTAATCAATCACTTTCCATATTTTATATTTCAATGATTTTATTAATCTATAAAATATCATTATGTTAGTATGTCAAATCCTTTAGAAGCAACTTTTTTTTTCCAAAGAAAATCCTATGTGTGTGTGTGTGTGGGGGGCTCACTTATTCCACTTCTTTCAGTAGCGAATTTGTTACTCAAACACTTAATTACCCCTATAACCAAAGCGGGGGGGGGGCAACAAGACTTTCAATGACTTTTTTATAGTGTACAAAACTTACGCGTATATAAATAAATGTCGATCCGGGTCCCCATACACCCCTCCCCCCATGCTACGTGCCTTTAGCTTTTTATAACGGTATCTTAGTTTACTGTGTTTACAGGTAGCTATACATATGATCTTTCTCAAACTCCGCCTGTTTTGTTAACATGACCCTCTACTTACAATCAATGTTTCAAACTGTTTATATTATTTAAAATTTTTGAGTCCGTCGGATGTGACGTTAAATGGTGCCCGTGTCAAGGATAACAACCCTCACTGGCACGTAAAAGATCGTTTCTCTGGTTTTCGAAAAAAGAGTAGGCTCATTGGGGGCCGCCAGAGAAACCGAAAAGTTTTTTAAATGATCATACTCACTAAATTTAAAATATGGCTGAAATATTGCCGACTTGGCGTTAAACAATAATAATCATCAACCAACAATCAATGTATTATATACTTACTATTTATACAGAGATCCCCGAGGTATCCCGGAGAGCAACCATTCAGACACGTGCCGTTGATGTGATGACACTGCTGATCCCCCGTACACTGACCACAGCTCTGACTACAGTTTACACCGTACAGGCCTCCATCACACTCTTTATAAAGAAAATTTACATCAAACATGTATAACACAAGATTTCTTTGTTATGGGAATATTTTCTTCCCCTTCCAAAATGTAACATTCAAAGTGGAAATTCCATGCTACCTCATGAAATATAACAACAAATAAATACAAAAGAATTGTTATAGGAGTTTAAGGACAAACAATCCGTTCCTGAATAATATATATATATTATTTTTGACATTAAAGTATTGGTGTTGCCTATATAATCCTTTTGGAAAAATATTAAGTTGTAATTTTTAAAAAGACAATTAGAATCAAGTTTAGAAATCACAAGGTAATTATGATTTAAATATTTAAATATATTAGGAATTAATTTTTAAAAAAAGATATCTGAAGAGAGTATCATCTGATCTTAAAACTTTATAATTATTTTAAGAGCATATATTTGTTCCTTATAATTTACCCTTCTGGCAGTTAGGAAGCTTCCATCCGATTTGACAGCCGCCGTAACATTCACCGTTAAATCTGTTACACTGGTCTTGACGTAAGCAATTCTCGCTACATCTTTCTCTGCAGTCTTTACCGTATCGTCCAGGTAGACACTCTGTTGAAGTAAAATAAAGTTTTTAACATACCATATAACCTTGAAATTCTTTTATTAAAGGGAGTCTACCACACAAAAAATGGGGCGGGGGGTTGCTTCCGAATTTTAGATATACACTATATGAATCTAACTGAAAATATCTCAATAGGTTTATTCCTTTATCAAGACTACTTAGATAAGGTGAGTAATGTCTGATTTATTTTGAAATGAATATGAATATGTATTTGAAGTCACATAATTTAAATCAAAAATGAACATTTAGCTACAACATTTGTTTCTATTTCGCTCTGAAAAAAAATCTTGTTTTTTTGTGAGATTAAATAATTCTAGATTTACTTCAGAATGAATTGAAGACCTGTTAAAAATATATTTAAAAATATATTTAATTTACAGTTCTATGTTTTTCATCTTCATTCAATAGTTTATATAGGTGAATTCAAGAACAAAACATTTGGAATACATTGATATTGTTTTCAAAAAATCTTTCGATGTGCCGGCTATTAAAAGAATACTGCCTTGTTTTTAGGTGGACTGTCTTTTTGGAAGTAAAGGTTTTATACAATTTATATCATAAATGATTCACACGTGGATAATTTACATGCACATTATTTTTAGCAACAATACAAAAAAATGTAGTCTTAAATCCAAATAAGGCAATTCATTGGCTTTAAAATTTTCTTACTCTTTAAACAGATTTCTTAAGGTTCAAAATCAGGATTTTCAAAGAAGATGCCTTAAAATATGCTGGTCTGAAGGCTTTAACTCTTAACATTACAGTTAACATAAGTTTGTATACATTTACAACTAATGAAAAACAAATGGGAAAAAATCATTTTTCGTAAAATATCAATGACAAGCCTCACCAGTCTGACATTTATCGCCCTCCACTCCTACGTCACATCCGTTCAGACACGTGCCGTTGACATGGTAACAGGTCACCCCGTCACTACAGTTACCACATGGAAAGGAACACTCCAGACCGTATCTCTGATTGTCACATACTGAGAAGGACACAAAAACAACCAAGGATGATATACAATTTTATTTTTATAAATAAAATGTAAATAAAAAACACAAAAAATGCAAAAGGTTTTTCAAAAGATAATCTCATTATCAAAAATCAAAACTGACGATGGGTATGCGGTTTTATGCTGCGTAACTTAAAATATTGATAATTTTTGTTTGTTTTTTTTCCTAACATTTTAGTGTCTTTAATTTAATAGGTGCTTTTATCACTAAAAAGTTATTACATGTATTGTCTAGTTTTAAAATCTTGTGTTTGGCCAGGTAACACTATGTTTTGGCTGACAGTGGTAAATTTTGACGTTGTCTTTGTTAATGGAGAGTGTGCAAAAATTATTCTTTTTTTTTTTTGAAATGTGCACCTTTGTTTTCGACATAGGAATATACCCTACTTTGTTTAAATTTAAGTTCAGACATTCCAAAGGCAAAAATTGGCATTGTTTAAACAAGTCTTACAAGAACAAATGGGACCTTTATATCCCCGTTCACACATAAGAACACAATAGATTTATATGCTTATTCGCTGACCTTGATTACACTTTGGTCCTTGATACCCCGGTATACAACCCAGACATTCTCCTGTTGTGATGATACATCTTCGTTCCTGACAGTTCTCTGAACATTGCTGATCACAGTTCACTCCATAGAAGGTTGGATTAGAACATCCTGTAGAGAACAATAATATATACACTGCTAGCAAATACAGCTTTCCATTGGAATTATATCAGATAAATGGAAATTAGCTTATACAGTGCTCACCAATAACTTCCAATTCACATAGTTCGTTATATGCATATGTAGAATAGTAACTTGGATATGTAACACCCTGTCTTCCTCGTTCGTTGTAGTATATAACATAACGTCCATGTACAGGACAGCTAATTGTCTGGTTCTCTGTCGGTGTACCGTTCACTTGTTGTAACTCATGGAAACAAAGATGGCCGTCCTCCCTTCTTGTGGTATTAGAAACGTACACAAAAAATCCAGCAAAGCGATCATAATAAGCACCAGGACCTAGGAACAATAGAAAATATGCTACACAATTCTGATAGTTTTATCCATAGGTAATTTACAAAGTAATCCAAAAGATTTTTTTAAAGAGGTATGTAAAAGGTTGACAACTTTTTTTTATAACTAGTAAATATATGAAAAACAACGTTATTGAGGATTTGAGAGTTATCTTTTTTCGGGTTTATCAACTATTCACGAACTAATCACGGATTCTTCCTATCATAAACTGTCTTTAAATTAATTTCAACTTGTAATTGCTTAGCAAAAATAATACTATAACGTTGACACGACAACAAAAAAGTTTTTTAAATCAGTTAGACGGAGACACATTAAAATGATATTGTGAACCTTTATCACTTCATTTTCTTTTTTGTTGGAAATATTGTTAAAAGGAGATATTCTGCATCTTATTGCATTTGTTCCCAACGTTATATGAAAACAAGAAACGGCGTTGATTGAACATGTGTACTGAATTATTTTTTATTCAAAGTATCTTCGAGTATTCCACAAAATATGTTGTCCTATTTGGAAAAAAAACTCTTTAGATAAAGTGCATGTCCTCCTAAGGAGACTACGGACCCCACGATCCGCTGTAATGTCCATATACCGAATACCGTCGCTGCTTCAGTTTCTATTGGCTTGTACAAAAGAAGCTGGTTAGTTTGCAATTAACAGGTAAAGTACAAAGCTGGTTAGTACTTAATATTTAAACATTTTTTTTCTAAAGTCGCCATGAAATTATAAACAGCGATTCTTATTACATGTATAACATAAATCGGGTAGTTTGTACTTCCCCGGTATGTGGTTAATAAACAAACTAAAATGTTTTTTGTTCTATCTACTCGGTGTATTATCCGTTCTGTAGAAGATGTTGAATGTGACTGATGCTGACTACACTCCCTAAATTTACTCCCCACTCAGCTGTTGACTGACCAGGACCACTGATATTCAAGCACTGTCCTGAATCCACTTTGATCTCGCTGAGTAATTCAAGTTTCTGCCTTCGCATGCAATTCAACTATTTAAAAAATAAACCTTGTCTTTGTACAAGTTTTGCAATTTAGCTGAGTTTAGCTTAATGCTAAATTGTCTGCAGAAAAAAGTTTTCTTATATTTAATAAATATTATATATTTCCATCAGAAAAAAATATTTGAGTTTTGAAAAAGTTCTGTTTACTTTAAATCTACATGTATAGCAATTTCTTTTCTTTTTTAAAAGTGTTTTCCTCTAAGTTTTAGATTTACAATTAAGGATATTTGAATTTTAAAAATAGATTTTACACAAATATCACACAACAGTTAATTTAAGTGTAGCTTTTTAGCATATATATAGTATAACAATCAGAATTAAATATAAATTTTCACAAAAAACTTGATTATTCCCTATCTAATAATGCTATTTAGTCAGATACATATTTTAAAGTAGAAACTAGGAAATATCAATTTTCATCTAAATTATCGTCATATTAAAAAAATTTATTTAATATTATTACTTCAAAAATTCTTGACAAAAATGACAAGCGACAATGACATGTGTGATCATATAAACAGATGAAGTGAAATACACACAAGGAGGAAATTAAGATGTACGCTGTTCAAAGAAATGTACATTAATTTTCTTAAGCTTCTTAGGGACAAACGCAGTGATTTATATGTTTGAAGTCTTACCATAAGTTTCTGTGCAAACCACAAGCATAAATAACAGGGCGAGGACGCGAGCCATTTTCAGCTGTCTCCTCCTCTGAAAAATAATACAACTACAAACTTTAATAGCTTTACGATCATTTACATACTTGAATAAATCTACAAAGGTTTCCCTTTGATGACATTTGTAAACCGAGGTGGAGAGCTTAATTATTAGTTCTCGTATCACAATAATAATGATAACAGTGGTCAAACCCTTCAACACGCGAAGAAATTAAAAATAATGCTTCACTTCCGGGCTTATGTAAAAAAACTTTTGCAATGCAATATTATTCTACAACTCCATTTGTTCCTGTGTATTGCTCTTTTTCTCTGCGTATTTCAATTCAAACATACAGATCTCGATATGAAATGACCGTTTATAACCAACTAAGCTGGGGAAAAGAAAAAAAAATACATGAATTATTTGGAATCTGGTATCAAACCTTGTCTGAATAAATTTGAAAAAAAAATCGTATATTGCTGCCAAATAAACAACTATCTCATTTTAATGGCAATATCCTGATAACGAGATAACGACATGATATGCTCTTTAATTACCCTAAGGAATACAAACATTGTATTTATCCCATAACCTTGTGAGAATTAACAAATGAATAAAACTGATTCAGTTTAAAAAAAAATATACTTTATACCGAAAGGTCATGTACAGTAAATACTGTAAGCAGATAAATATAACATGTATATCTAAATTGTCACGTTTATGACGATTTTTAAACTCATTGTATATCAAACTCTATGTTATCTTAAGATTGGGGTAAAGCACTTCAAAAGGCACTTAGCCAAACTGTCATCGAATGAACCTAAGTGTTTTAGGATGTATAGAGGATAAACATCTTCCGTGTTAGGTTTAATGGGAGCTCCTTCATCTATCTTATCTCATCATAATAATGTAATAAAACACTTCTCATTAATTGCACTTATTCAACCATTAATGTACATATTAATGAATATTTTTAAACATCTTGAATACTTTTCTCAAAATCTCTGTATGTTTGTCTTTTCTGCACGTTATCTCTGTGCATGGATTTCATACATGGTCGTTGAGTAATTGTCATCTCCTAATTCAATAAGGGTATATTGATATACTAGTATCTGGATTCCCATTAATAAATTTAAAAAAGCTTTATCAAATATCTCCATCCTTTCTTTGTACCGACACCAAATCCCGAACTATCGAGTTTTAATGTTCTTCATGTTTTTAACAATGATGTATTAAGAGAAGAACAAGTCAAACCTTTTTTTATCTCACAGCTGACATGTGAATATAAAAACATAAATCACATCAATAAATCATTTTATCTAAGAAAGTACAGCAATCATAGATCCCTCAACACACACACAAAGTGAATTTCAGTGTTATACACTGTGTGCTTATAGGAGTGAAAAACAAACAAGTTTTACTAACTAAAAATAAAATTATTTCTAAACATTTTATAATCTGTTTTCTTTTAATTTTTAACTCTCATTTCTGAATTATAATATAAGTAGCTAGGTTTTAATAAGCTGATTATGTTTTAGCTCAGGAAAAAAACATTACCTTTTTAATAATTCCGGGTAAAAGCATGAGAATTCATTTACCAAGTTCAAATTCCGGTCATTTACTAATCCGTCGTGCAGTAGTGTCACCCTTAATGTGGGATAAGGAAGTGACGTCATACAAAGGATAAGTCTAGAGACAGGCTGAATAAAAAGGGAAGTTAATCCCTACGAGTTTATATGTAAATAAATTTATAACTTTCTTATCTTCGTGTCAAGATAAAGTTTAAAAACAGCTTAGAGTTGTATATGTGTGTTTAGATTATTTGACAAATATTTATTTACTTAATATATTTTAATTCGTTGGTTAGGGAAACACTCCGGTGCGATTATTTCAAAATTAAGCCGTCGAAGGATTTTTTAGGGTACTGATAGGGTGTGCCTTTATGAACTGATTATCAAAAATAAAGGAGTTTTATGGCTAAGGCTTGTGTTATTATTTTTTGTTGAACTCTTCTTTTTACTTTAGAGTTGAATGTTTATACTTTTGAACGTAAAAATTACTTAAAACAGCGACTTTGAATTCTGTTTAAAAAGTCACACTTTGCACAAAAGGTATATTGAAAGTTACTGTTTAATTTGAATTTTTAATGTACTTGCATCAGCTATATTCAAGCTATGGTTATAATATCTTAGACACAAAAAATGAAAACTAAAGTGAATATTTAATTGAACCTTGTTACTTACTGCAATTTGTTTATGTCTTGCTTGTAAAAAGATTAATCATATTACATATATATTTACATATAAACACTCTTAACTGGTAAATAACAAAAATATTAATAAATGTATGTTTCAAAAATATTATTGTGAAATTTTCTATGTGTATTCCAATTTTAATTTCAATGCACGAGTTAGAAACAACATCTATATAAATTTGACGTCTTTAATTTATAGGGATTTTTTTTTTTTGCTGGAGTTCGGCGTACACGATCGAGTTCGTTTTACTAATCCATGTTTTAATGCGCTTCACATGGAAAGGTAGCATGCATTTTTAGCTCTTAAAGAATTCAAAAACAATCAAAATCCTGCTTTACTTACATGTATGCGTTACAAAAAACCTACTTAAGGATTTCGTTAGACACTTTTTTAACACAGTTGCCTGTCGACAATCTGTGACATCACTCTTTTTTTTTTACCTCAGTCTGATATTTAGAAAGTACACCTCTACTACTGTAAAGTATTACACATCGGTTGGAAGTCAATGTGTCAGAAAATATCTGATTTTTAATATAATTGATTAAGTTAATAAGAAAATAAAAGTGTATAAATACCTTACGTGCTACGAGTCAGCTATAGACCTAACAGAAATAAAGTTCCGGCCACTTGTAAAACAAGAGGCCCAGGGGCCACATCGCTCACCTGAGCAAATCAGCTAGGAAAAGTTTACTGAAGGGGGGGGGATGGGTGGGGGCTTGAATTTAATACTACTTGAGAATGCCTTCATATTAATACAGCATATCACTTTGCTGTTCTTGATAAAAAGATTTTTTTAAAACATTTCCTTCCTATATATATAACTTCATAAAAATTTGAATTTAATTCCCCATTGTTTCCCTCCCTACCCCAAAGGGCCATGATTTGAATGAATTTAAATCAGGATTTGAACAAACTTAATTCTACACTTCCCGAAAATGCTTCTATATAAATACTAGTATCACTAATCATGGCAATGCTATTCTTGAGAAAAAGAGTTTTTTAAATATGTATTTTAGTGTAAAACTTGGATCTCCCATTGTGACCCCACTCTATCCCTGGGGGTTATAATTTGAACAAACTATAATCTAAACTACCTGAGAATGATTCCATATAAATATCAATAATGATGGCTTTGAAGTACTTGAGAAGACGATTTTTAAAGATTTCCCTATCTACCAGGTAGTCCTATGTAAAACTTTGATCTGCAATTTTGGCCCCATCCTACCTCTGGGGGTCATGACTTGATCAAGCTTGAATCTACACTACCTTGAGGATGATTTCACATGAGTTTCATTTTTCCTGGCCCAGTGGTTCTTGAGAAGAAGATTTTTAAAGATTTTCCCTATATATTCGTATGTAAAACTTTGATCGGCCATTGTGGCCCCACCCTACCCCCGGGGGTCATGATTTGAGCAAACTTGAATCTACACTGCCTGAGGATGCTTCCACATGAGTTTCATCTTTCCTGGCCCATTGGTTCTGGAGAAGAAGATTTTTAAATATTTTCCCTATATATTCCTATGTTAAACTTTGATGGGGCATTGTGGCCCCACCCTACCCCCGGGGGTCATGATTTGAACAAACTTGAAACTAGACTACCTGAGGATGCTTCCACGTGAGTTTCATCTTTCCTGGCACAGTGGTTCTTGAGAAGAAGATTTTTAAAGATTTTCCCTATATATTCCTATGTAAAACTTTGATCGGCCATTGTGGCCTCACCCTACCCCCAGGGGTCATGATTTGAACAAACTTGAATCTACACTGCCTGAGGATGCTTCCACATGAGTTTCGTCTTTCCATACCCAGTGCTTTTTGAGAAGAAGATTTTTAGCTCACCTGAGCCGAAGGCTCAAGTGAGCTTTTCTGATCACATTTTGTCCGTCGTCCGTCCGTCTGTCTGTCCTTCCGTCTGTCCGACTGTCTGTCCGTCTGTAAACTTTTCACATTTTCGACTTCTTCTCAAGAACCACTGGGCCAATTTTGACCAAACTTGGTACAAAGCATCCTTGGGTGAAGGGGAATTTAAATTGTTAAAATAAAGGGCCAAGTCCCCTCACAAGGGGAGAT